ATACTTAATCAAGTTTTAGCCTCTTGCATCTTAGTTTATAGTTGTTTGTTAGTACAAGATGTACTGATACAATACGTAGAATGTATGGATAATTGGCATAGAATTTTCGACTGGATTCCCATTTAACTATAATGACATGCATAGGATAGAATATTTCCACCTTACACAATAATGTTCTGTGTTATTTTAGTTCTTTTATCAGGACCGCTAGGCAATATATAGAAGCACGTTCGAATCCCCATTAGTAATAATGCCTAGCGTTTAATCCCTTAATCTAGCCTAAATAAGTCTAGTTAAGTTCGATTCGAGAAATGTTTGGATACAAGTATAGCATTCGGTCAATCTCGCACGTTTCACAAGGTACGACGCCTCTTCACTTTGTAAACAATTAAACAGAAATTAATAAGAATCCGTTTTAGGCCAAAGCATATAATTAAATTAGCATGTATCTTTTTTCCTTCTCGTTTTAAAGACAAATGCATTAGAAATGTAGCCACTGTAGGATATCCTTTCTAAAATAGAGACGAGCCTCGCCAAATAAAAAATGCGAAATTGCGGGGCCCTCAACAACTAAACATAATAAATATTTAGAATTCAGGACAGGCCGTTTAGTAAACTTCATGGCCTTTCCCAAAAGTAACAATACACTAGTTGCTTTAGGAGCACCTTTAATAATTTAACCTTCTTAAACACGGGTGCACATTGATGTGACCCAAATCCAAGTCTCAACGGAGTCAAAATGTGTTGACGACCACGGGTGCATTGATTGTGACGTGGTTCGAGATGCATTTTCACGACGTTGCAATTCTATAAAAANAATATTGTCACTTAAATTGGAAAAAACTCCCCTCGCGCATTTAACCCTTCGGGGCCGGGCGCGCAAAAAGGAGGTGTGACAGGCATATATCGGGTATAACCGATAAACCGAACCGATAAAATGCTATTGGGTTATCGATATCAGGTTATTGGATAAATAGTTTGATAACAGTTTAATGTTATTTGACTAATGGATTATCGGTTCGGGTCTCGGTTTGCCCAATTTTATTAACGGTTTAACCGATAGCTCAATAAGCTTTATCAGAATTATAATTTTACCCACTAAGTATATAAAACCATCTTATGGCTTCATTCTCTCAATTCTCTCGACAATTACTCTTCATCTTCTGACCTTAATTCTTAGAGTAAATTTTAAACTTTTCTGAATTTCTCATTGTAGTTTTTCAATTAAGATTTTTAGTTTTAAACTTTAGAGAATTAATTGTTCAAATTTTTAGTTTTTCTATTTGTTTCTTTTGTTGCACTGACTCTTTAGTATTTACAAGATTAGGATTTTATTATTTTCCTGTGAATTATGCCCGCCCGCAGTGACATAGTTAGTAAGATTAGATTGTTGAATGTCTTATCCCTTACTCCTATTAACTTATAACTTTGAAAATTGAGATCATTCATTGGAATTTTCAAATGCAAAGAAAGTTTTATTTTCTAAGTTGAAATTTAATATCTCTTATCTTAAGAGCAAAAATTCAATTCCTTTCTCTTAATAGTATGGTCACGATTTCTATAATACAAACATGAATTTTTTGGATAGTTTTTATTCTTATCGGGTAAACCGATAACCCACCGATAAGGATTAATAACCGATTAATCGATACCCGATATCTTATCGGTTCGGTTATGGATTAGTATATTTATAAATTGATAACCGATATGAAGAACCGATAATATTCACAATCGAACAGAACCGACCGATGCCCACCCCTATAGCTCATAGAAAACAATTTAATAAGTAACAATGTAAAATCTAAAGATAACTATTTTACAACTATTAACTTCTCTACTATTATATCTTAATTACAATTTTGCTTAACAATTTTTTGTACTAATTGTAATTAAAGAATATTAATTGTTTGGGCTTCTTGTTTTTTCTTACTTTGGTAAAAGTAAATATATTTAGAAAAGATTATTTGAAAGCTGAATATTTTTATACCAAAAATAGAACATCAAAAATAAAATTTCTCATTGCCAAAGAAGCAATCTACTACCAATTCTAAGCCTTAAGTTTGCTTATTCTCAAAAAAGAAAATATTTTGTTTAGTTTTTCATGCTTATTGCATACGTTAGGCCTCATTAGAGTCCAGAGAAGTTCAAACAAGGAATATTTATTATGCAAAATTTTAGTTGATTTGGAACTCCTAAATATTAGGAAAATAAAATGCACAAAATTTAGTTGATTTAGAACACCTAAACATTAGGAAAATAATTAAATGACTATTTTGTCTAATATGAAATTTATTTTTAAAGGGTAAAAAAGGCGAACGACATTTCGCTAAGGGCCTTCGTGCTTTTAATATAGTGTATATATATATATATATATATATATATAGATATAGTTATATATAATATATAAAAAAAATTTAAAAAAATAGGCCAGGCCTATTTAGGCCCACATAGGCCCGGGACCGACCCACTTAGCTCAAGGCCATTAGTTCGTGGTCTCGGTCCTGATCCGGTTACCTCCAAAAGCCCATGAAGCCCGGGACTGTTTAAGCCCGGCCCACGAAGTCCAGGCCCACATAGGACCGGCCCAGTTAGGACCATTTAGGCCTGGGCCCGGCCCGTTTGCCAGGCTTAGATGTTCAGCATCCCCCACCTACAACCTCAAGGTCGTGGGTTTGAGTCACTAAAGGAGCAATAGCTCCAACAAAGGGAGATCAAAAGGAATCAGAGGCGAGGGGAATAAAAAAAAAAGAAACTAAAGATGGCGCAGCAGAGGCAATATTCGTTTGCATATACAAATGACTTATTACGATATCTTATATATCGAAACATATCGAAACCAATTTCCAGTACCAACAAGGGTTGTGGTGGATTGTTAAGTACTCATTTATCTTTAACCAGAGGTTTCGAGTTCGAGTGTCCCTGGGTATGGAGTCACCTTTGTTAGAGAGCGCTTACCCCTAATGTAGAACTTCCCGGCGCGAATTCGAATTTAATCCTCTCCAATGTGGATCCTGGATACCTGGTGGGAAAAAAAAATTACCAATTTCCAGTAACTAAATTTTTAGGCTGAGCGAATACATTTGCATATGATGACTCCATACCACAATATTAAATCGTTTCCTATCTCTTCCTCATCTTTATCGTTTATATGAGTTGGATTCTTCTTCTCAAACCTATATTGACAGCTTTTTCATATTTAATTTTGTATTACTACTTATTATCAACAACAAGCAGCTGCAACCATTTTTTAGGAAAGTTGTACTCCTAATATAATTAGGAACGTAAAATAAATTAGGAAACATTTGTCTTTCTTGTGCGCAAAGCTATTTTTTAATATTTGAACCAAACGTCACCTTAATAAAATAGGAAAATAAAATTAATAAAAGCTAGATTTCCCAATTCTAGTCATTCAAGGAAAAACCAAAAGAAAACATGACACAATTCCTATTCCTACTCACCATAGGAAAACCAAAATTCTCTTCCTATAAATTCAGTTGCAACGTCTCAAAGTTCCTCACTTTTTCATTCAACAAAAATCAATCTCCTTTTCTTCGTAAAATCACAATGTCTCCAATTACCAAAACACACAGTGATTTAAAGAAACACCAATCAAGAATAACAATGCTTTTAAAAGCATCAAACACAATAGCATTCAAGAAACAAGAAACAAGAAAAATACCATTTCAAAAGGGAGATGAAGTTGAAATAGCAAGTCATGAATATGGTTTCATTGGTTCTTACTACACAGCAACTATTGTTTCTTTTGTTGGTGATTATCATTATAAAGTCAAGTACAAAACTCTATTAACAGATGATAATTCTGCGCCATTAGAGGAGATTGTTACTGTCGGCGAAGTCCGTCCAACGCCACCTGAAAAACAAGAAAATTTGCCGGAAAATAATTTTTGTTTGTATGATATGGTTGATGCATTTGATAATGATGGTTGGTGGTTTGGATTTATAACTGGAAAAATTGGAGGAAATTATTATGTTTATTTCCCTACAACTGCTGATAAAGTTGCATATCCTCCTGAAGTTTTGAGATTTCATCAAGAATGGTCCAATGGCAAGTGGAAAAAGGAAGGAGTTTTTGACTTATACTGATTTTGGTTTCAAGAGATTAACTCTCTTTTCAAGAAAAAAAATAGTGTTTATAGGGGAAATATTCATTTATTTGTATTCGTTTAGCCGAGTGATTCATTCACCGCAACAAATTTGATTATCAATGACGAACTATTTTGTCATTTAAAAGTCATATTTTGTCACAAAAAATCTTTTGAGACAAAAAATAATTCGTCAATTATTCGTCCCAAAAACACCGTCACCAAAAGTATACAAAGACAATTTGGTGGTTCGTCACTAAATCAAGTTATATTAGGGACGAAAATATTTTTCGTTCCCAAATGCCTAGTATTTGTGACGAACTTGTTCGCCAAAAAAAGTATAAAATATTCGTCGTTAATAGCGTGCTTTTGTCACTAAAAAGATTATCAATGCCGACGAAACTACCTTGTCGCTAACTATTTAGTTTAATTAGTGACAATATCAAATGTCTCTAAAGTTATATATATTTCGTAGTTAAATCAACGTTATTTTGTCATTAAAGACTACCTTTTATGTACAAAAAATATTTCGTCCCTAAATATATAAAATAGTGACAGCTTTGCTTTTACAAGAATAATTTACAATTTGTAGTTGAAAACTATTATGTTGTCACTAAAAATAATATTTCTTTACAAAATTATTTAAAATTAAAATAATCATAAAATACAAATTACTAAAAGGATGATTCTCGGACACATAATATCTTTGTCACTAGAATTCGATGAATATTTGATGACATTAAAATCCGCAGTGCTACTATTTATAAGTAGTATTTATCTAATTTCCCATTTAATTCCAGAATTTATCATTTACTAAATGGAAATAACATAGTAAAAATGGAAGGTAACAACAAAAAATTTCACCGACGATCACATAATTAAGAACTAATACTACATTGAGATAATATTCATTACAAACTCCGTAAACTAAAACACTGAAATAAAATAAAATTTATTCAACAACATGAGGTCGAATCGAAATACAATAATTTTAGTAACTGCTTCCTCAAACACTAATGTAACCACTCGTCTGATAAAGTTGCTCTTGAATAAATTTACACTTTCATGTACCTGTTGAAGAAAAAAACAATTTTAGTACATACTTTTTGATGAACAAGATTTAGCCAAAAAAATGACATATCATATTTTAATTAGTGAAACGAATAATAGAATGACAAATTAGTACTGGTAGAAAGATGCTCACTCGAAGTTAGACAATAAATATTAATTCTTCTTTGACTGCAAATAACCACAAGAATTAAGAAGAAGAGATATAAAATTAAGAGTACTTAATCTCTCAAAAAATAAAGAATAATAGATAAATTTCTTCATACCTCTACAATAAAATTAAATCAATAAGAAGCCACAAATACATACACGTAATATGTCATCTGGAGAAACCCAAAATTTTTATTGCCCTACAACTGAAAGAAAAAGAATTCTGTATGAGAGACTCAACAGAAAAAAAAAAATTGAAGTACAAATAATATTTCTTAACTTAGCTTGAGGATTTGTATCAAAGCAAAGGAGGCATCAGAAGTGGCTTTGCGTCTTAAAATACCCATCACGCGGATTTGATCTTTTATGCTATTAAATCAATAAAAGATATTAGAGAAAATTAAGCATTATTGAATAAGAGGATCTATGTGTGTGAAAGAAAAAAAAATATTAATGAAAGCAATATAGTAGATTTAACTGGTGCAATAATTTGATGGAGAAATGAATGTCACAAAGAATTAAGTGAGGAATGAAGGAGAATTGAGAAATGGGAGGCGGCACTACTCAACTAACATTGTGTTTGGATGGTTGTTTCCGGTTGTATTGTATTGTATTGTTACCTCACATACAATGTTTGTTTTGATTGTTTATATAAAACTGATTGTATCGTATTGTTTAATCCATTGTTCCAAAACAATGAAAACCCCCATTTTATGAAACAACCAAATCCGTGTGGTGGGATTGTTTCGTATTTTCCTTTCCGATTATGCCCACACTTATTATTCTATATTTAAATTTTACCCTTTACCCTATTATTTATATTATATTCACCATAATAAGTACTTTGTCTCATCTTGTTTCTGTCGTGCAAGTCAACAAACGGTATCGTCTCTTTCCAGTTTCCAACCAACTTTTTACAGGTTAGGTCTCTTTCCAACGACGGTATCCTCTCTTTCATCTATTTTCGTTGAGTGGAGTCATTGTAGTCAATTCACTTTTGTAAACATATGAAATATAAATATCGACGGCTATGAATTATAGTAATATTTTTGTTGCATCATTACTCTTATTACGTTACTTTCCTTACATTGAACTACTTTATGTATTTGTCTTCTTGTTATCACTTTCATATCATTATGTATTTGTATAATTTACATCACTTTCATATCATTTTATGTTGAACTACTTCAGATTGCTAATGGGGTGTATTTGTCTGCTTGTTTTTTCTGTCAATTATTTGGTATTACTGCTGTCACTTTGTTGAATCTTTTCAGTATTTTTTCTGGTTAGTTCATCTATGATATTGGTTAATGTATCTCACTTAATTTTATTATAGATGGCTGATCGGAATAATCAAAATAATAGACAGATATTGGAACAAGTGAGCTCTTTAGCTACATATGCTGCTTGCTTAGTAGCTATTTGGTTTTGGACTTATGTACGTGAAATTGAAAATGACCGACGTACGATCACACATGATATACGACTGGAAAGTGAACAAGTTAGACATGAATTATTGAGTCATTTATTCTCAACTGAACTTTGTCATAATATTATTAGAATGACCCCTTTAGCTTTTACCGATTTATGTGAGATGTTAGTTAGAGAGGGTGATCTTAGACCAACACTTCAAGCTACAGTTGAAGAGCAAGTTGCAAAAACACTTTACCTGTTAGCGCATAATACGACAAATCGCGAGTTAGCTTTTATCTTTCGACGATCTGGGGAGTCGGTTAGTCGTCATTTTCATATTGTCCTACGAGCGATCTTGGGGTTATATGAAAAATTTATTAAACAACCTGATGGCTCTCAAGTTCCTTCTGAAATTGC